GCTGACCAGATTATTGGCAGATTCTCCTAATCCCATTTGAACTTTATTATTTAGTCTTATTTTATTTTAACTTAGCTTCCTTGTGGGGATTGGGTAAGAATATGTAGTTTCTGTCCAATTTGCTTATGATTATATGCATGCAGGTTTTCGAATTATTCATCACTGGGTTAAACTATCTAAGTGTCTTGATGCTTGATCACCATTAGGATGTTTAGAAAAGTAATTTGATGCAGTTTTGGTCGGAGGTCGGTCCCTGAAATTGACGAAGGCTTCTTGTGATTAATATGTGCAAGTTCACTTAGGATGAATACCACGTCTTAAGGGTTGCATGGTTTTTCAAAAGGTTTCATAGAACTTAATGAGTCATGTATGTTTAGATTTGATCTGAATACCACAGACGGATTGCATGTGTGATATACGCTCTATGTTGGGGGTCCAAGTAGGCATATATTAGGAATACCTAACCTTCGAAATATGCATGTATAGGTCATAAGTAATTGGGGGAACTATATAGAATTGTTAAGGTGACGGCGGATCCCTAGTGCTTTCTTAATTTGATTTCTAAAAACACAACTGTTTCTCTTGCTCTTAGCTTTAATTTTGCATATTGCCTTATTTTTATTAGTTAAATTCCTTTTAATTTAAGGTCTTCAATTCAAACATCTTAACTTTCTCTTTTGCAATAATTAATTAGAATTTGGTTGTTACGAGTTATTTAATAATCCCTGCGGAGAACGACCTTGCGAGAATCATTTATACTACAATAACATTGTCATTCTTGCAAGTTTTGTAGGAGTTTTAACCCTGTTTGCGCAGGTACTAAAAAGCCTATCAATAAGCAAACTGTATTTTCTAAAGGGATAAGTAGGGTGCAGGGAGCTGTTCATCTGGAAAATCAAACTAACCATCACGGCAGATTAAACTCTTACAAATTGAAGGTCAAAAAGGGATTAGGTTTTCTTTCAAAAAGCAGAGAAGTGATCATCATAAAGAACTGTCTGATGATGGTTTGTCTGCCAGAATAGATAAAATTCCCCTTTTCTTTGACGTTTAAAATGAAAGATCTTGCTTTTGGAAAATCTACCACCCGTTATTAAAAGATTAGAAATCCCACTCCATCATTTTTTCTATAAATATGAGAGAAGATGAACAGATCAAGGGGACAACCAAAAAAAGGCCATAAAAAAAAAACTCAAAATGATCACTTGATTTCAAAAGACTTCAAAACACTGAAGTAACCAAAAGCACATTGAGCCACAAAAAACAAGTCAGCTATAATCCAGAATCTCTAACTTCAGTTTAGTTTCAGAGAAATAGTCATTCAAAATGAGATTTCTCTCGTTACATATTTGGTTCAGCACAAGCCAAATCAAGCAGAGTTCGGGTTTTACCAATATGAAAGCCTCAACAAATTTATTGCGAGCTCTGAGCAAGCAGAAAAGGTACTATAGTGCAGTTCCAGCTCAGTAATCATCAAATTCAGCCGCTTCTGCCTCTTTCGGACTGAAGAGGTTCTAATTTTGCTTGTTCAAAAAGCCTTTCAGGGCTTGAAATAGATTAAAGCTCAGCCAAACTCGAACGTTGGTATTGATTTATAGCTGAAACTTGACAGTAGAAGGTGTTGATGGTCCAATCCAGTATGGATACATCTAATCCAGTCTAGATCAAAAGTAGCTATCTAGGCAGAAATTGAAGTCCAATGCTCTTTTGTCTTTATTAGAGTTCGTTTTTTCCTTTCTGAGTCTTGTAAAAGGCAGTTCTGCCTGAAATAGTTTATTTTCTTGTTATTTATTCTGGCAAGAACTACCAGTTTTGTACTATGAAAAATTGTGAAGTTCTCACCAGTTTGAGGCAAAAAAAGAACATACTTGGGAGATATTCCTCAACCAAATTCACAATCGCTTGTATAGAAATCAGTAACTTGGGGTGCAAGTTATCTACTTTAAGAAGTCTGCTAGGGTTTTCATTGCTAGCAGTGACATGCTTATACACAAAAGAAAGTTGACTTGTTAACCAATCAATGGTTTTGAGGACAATGGGGAACTTTACCCCCACCATCACAGGAACAAATATAAAACGGGTGAACAATTTGGCACGCCCAGTGGGACTTTTTAGTACACATATTTCTAGAAAAATCCTCTAGTATATGAATATTGAAACTTCTAGCCAGATTCCACGCTATGCCATGGAAAGAGATTAGGCAGCTCTTCGAGAAGGACTTGAGTCAGAAGAAAGTGATGCTAGGCAATCAACCCATGGCAGTACCAGGAGTAGACGTTCCAGGTATGGTACCAGAAAGTTGAACCAGATACAGGAGGCTGTGTTCTGTTAGGAGGCCACAGCACAAAGGAGCCAGGATACTTTAAACAACATGATAGCCATGATGCAATAACAAGTCAACAGGCAGTTCAGGAAGGATCGTGAGGCTTCTATTGCCAGAATTCCAAACCCATATGTGGTGGTCCAACAGCTAGATCTTCCTTTTAGACCTCCACCAGAACTGGCATGGCCTTACCAAGAGAATCCTCTCATCGCACAGATAGCTGGAATACCAGGACATGGAGAAATCCAAGCAGGACAAAGGGGAGGAGCCCTTCCCATCCAAGAACATGAGACTCTAGTTCATCCAGAACGCCCTGCACCAGTTCAGGCCCCCCAGAACCAGCCATAACCTCCACCTATTCCACAACCAGTGGCCCCACGTGATCAGCCCTTGGCACTTCTGCTTGAGCAACCAGTTGTGTTGCCCTACAGACCTAGAAGGATGGACCCCAATCCATTCCCTCCAGTAGCAAGAGGCAGGATAAGTAGAGGGGGAGTTAACCTTTGCCAACAATGACAGGAACAGACCGGGGGTAAATTGGAGGAATCATCTAGATTTCGAAGAAGAGGAAGAACACAGGGAGGATGCTCTGCCTAGAACATATAGAATGGAGCAAAGGATTGAACACAACCAGCCAGAACATGGGCAAAATCTGCATCCTGTCAATGCTTTGAATGACATGGGGGCACTTCAGAGAATGATCAGAGAAATGATGGAACCTGAGGCCAGAAGAGGAGAAAGGCCTACCTACAGAAAGCCATATCCAGCCTATATTGATCAGATACCTCTATTCCCACGCTTTAGGGTGCCAAACTTTACCTTGTTCAACGGAGAGGACAGCCATGCTTCATCAGTTGAGCATATAGGCAGATTCTCTGTCCAGTGCATAGCCATAGAAAATAACTCTCTGTTAAAACTAAGGCTTTTTGGAAATTCTCTCTCTGGATAAGCCTTCACCTGGTATACTAGCTTACCAGCCAATTCTGATCAAACCTGGGAACAGATGGAAAATGTCTTCCATGATTACTATTTCAGGATTAAGTCAAAAGTCACTATCAGTGATCTTGCTGCCCTCAAACAGAGTGAAGATGAGTCTGCCTAAGACTTCATAACCAGGTTTAGAAAGCTCAAAATGAAATGCCGAATCCCTATGAAGGAAAGACACTTCATTCAAATAGCACAAACCGGCACATATTACAAAACCCCATCTTCTTAGTACATATGGTTGAGGTAGAATCAGAAGAAGGCAAGGGAAGCTCGGGGAAGAGAGAAGTTGTAGCAGTAGAAATGGAAAAACTAAAATATCCTATCAGCTGCAAAGCTTTGACAAAGCCACCAAAGGACCAGAGGCCACCACCATTCACAAGAGGGTTTGTTCCAAACAAACTAGGACAGAAGGCAATAGAGGCACCCCATAGGTTGCCCAAGCCAGAAGAACTCAAGGGCAAGCAGTATTGCAGATGACACAACTCTTTAAACCATTCCACCAATAGTTATGTTGTTTTTAGAGACGTCATACAAGAAGGAATAACAGTAGGAATGCTAAAACTGGCTGAGAAACCTCCCTCAATAACAACAAATCCTTTTCCCTAATCTCAAGTCAACATGGTCAACTTAAATTGGCCAGAACAGAAAAAAGGAAGACTCACAACAGAAGCTAGCCCTAGCATAACTAGGAGAGCCACAAGAGAGGCAAATCAGAGGCCAAGACAACCATTTTGGCTGGGGTAGTTTTGTGCATAGAAGGCAGATGGTATTTTGTCGAAAAAAGTGGTAGACCAACTCTGAAACTAACCAGAACATAGAAGATGAGAGTTCAAAGGCAATACTGCACCTTCCTCAATAACAAAGGATGACACACAGGTGCTTTTAGAGACTAGTTTTGCCAAGAAAGGGGAAAATCCAGAAATAGCCCTTCAGGCAGAACAGACGACATGTCAACCAGAAGAGTTGACAAAACAAGGTCTCCAAGCAAACCTTACATTCATCTTGCCTCATCCTCAGTCAGTCAGTCAGTCAGCTAGAACCTTCACAATCACAAGGTCAATCCGGACCTATTCCAGTAAAAGGACAAGAACATTGGACTGAAGAAAATGAAGAGGAGCAGTTGGACTATGAACCATTTGCAGACGATCGGATTGGACTCCTCGAAACAGGTGAACAAGAAGACTGGACATAAGAATATGGAGAAGAACAGATGGAATACGATGGAAAGCTAGATGAAGAGACTGAGGCTTTTGGTGCAGAGTTAGAGAGCCTATTACAAGGTGATCTAGGAATTAACATGATGTTTGTCCTTCCAGGAAAGTTCAGGGCAGCAGAAGGACAAGAAAGCATTTTGGAAGGAGATGTGCTCTCCCAGGAAAGTTTCGATGTTTAGCTCAATCCAACAGGACAAGGATCGAGCATAGTCTAGCCATTAACATGGCAGAAGTCATGCGTGAGAGTATGGAAGAACAGGAAGGAAATCTACAATAGGAAGAATTGAAATTTGCACCAGCAGCACTAGATGATTCCCTACCATAAGTAGAAGATCCTTTGCAGGAGCTAAACCTGGGAACAGTAGAGGACCCCAGACTTACTTTCATCAGCAAGTTGCTAGAAGAACCACCTGAAGGATGAAATCATTGCACTTCTGCATGATTTCAAAGATTGTTTTGCCTTGCATTATCATGAAATGTCTAGACTAGATAGAGGGCTGGTGGAGCACAAGTTGCCAATAAAAGAAGGATACATGCCAATCAAACAAGCCAGAAGAAGAATGTCTATGGAGGCAGAACTGAAAGTCAAAGAAGAAGTGGAGAGGCTAGTTAAAGCAGGTTTTATCAGACCAACCATTTATGCTGATTTTCTGTCCAATATTGTTCCAGTACTTAAGAGCAAAACAGGGGCAGTCAGAATATGCGTGGCCTACAAAAATCTAAATAAGGCATCTCCCAAAGACGAGTATCCAATGCTTATGGCAGACATGCTGGTAGATGGATCTGCTCATAACCAAATGCTATCATTCATGGATGACAATGCAGGATACAATCAAATAATGGTGGCAGAAGAAGACATCCACAAGACAGCCTTCACGTGTCTAGGGCATATATGTGCTTTTGTATACACTGTAAGAGCATCTCCACCCACAAGGGCTAAGTCTAAGGCAA